CCGCCCATATCCTTAACCGAGTCCCTACCAAGAAGGTTGCCAAAACACCTCACGAGATGTGGACGGGGAAAGCTCCCTCGTTGGCACATATCAAGGTTTGGGGTTGCGAGGCTTTCGTAAGACGAGATACTCACGACAAGCTTGAACCTCGAAGTGAGCGATGTATTTTCATCGGCTACCCGCAAACTTCCTTTGGATATCTCTTCTATAGACCGAAAGATAATGTTATCTTTGTTGCGAGGAGAGGAGTTTTCCGAGAGCGAGAACTCATAAGCCAAGGAGACAGTGGGAGGCAAATCGAACTTGAAGAGATTCAAGAATCGATAGATGAAGGAACCTCTACCGCTGGCGTTCAACCCGAGGAGGAAACTCCGGTTGAACCGATTGACGAATCCTTACCTCTTAGACGTTCCGATAGAGTTAGAGTTCAACCCCAGTTTTATGGTTTTCATATTACTACCGAAGGGGACACGTATATTAGTGATGGTACACTAGTAAATCTTGATGAACCTAATAGCTATAAGGAAGCCATGGCAGGCCCGGAGTCTGCGAAATGGAAAGAGGCGATGGATAGCGAGATCCAATCCATGTACGATAACCAAGTTTGGAATTTGGTTGATTACGTGCCCGAACGTAAGACCGTAGGGTGCAAGTGGATCTTCAAGAAGAAGACCGACGTGGATGGGAACGTACACACATACAAAGCGCGATTGGTTGCGAAGGGCTTTACTCAAACTCCCGGAGTTGACTATGATGAGACCTTCTCACCAGTTGCGAAGATTAAATCTATTAGAGTGATGCTAGCAATTGCCGCATTTCATGATTATGAGATTTGGCAAATGGATGTCAAGACCGCTTTCCTTAACGGAAAGTTGGCTGAGGATGTTTACATGGCTCAGCCAGAGGGGTTTGTGGATCCGAAGCATCCGAATAGAGTGTGTAAGCTTGAGAAGTCCATTTATGGACTTAAGCAAGCGTCTCGCAGATGGAATCTTTGCTTCGATGAGAAAGTCAAAGAGTTTGGATTTGTACGAAGCGAAGACGAATCTTGTGTATATGTCAAAGCCAGTGGGAGTGTAGTAAGCTTCCTCGTTCTATATGTCGATGACATATTACTCATAGGAAACGACATCCCGACTCTGCAGGAGGTTAAGTCCTGGCTCGGGAAGTGCTTCGCTATGAAGGACCTCGGAGAGGCTTCTTACATTTTGGGAATAAGGATAGTAAGAGAAAGAAGTAAGAGACTAATTGGACTTAGTCAGAATACTTACTTGGAGAAGGTACTAAAACGTTTTAGTATGGAAAACTCAAAGAAGGGAGAACTACCGATACAAGGAAATGCCAAGTTGAGTAAGACTCAAAGTCCGAGTACCGAAGCCGAGATAGCAGAAATGAGCCGAGTACCATACGCTTCCGCAGTTGGCTCAATCATGTACGCTATGACTTGTACTCGCCCTGATGTAGCCTTCGCTTTGAGCATGGTTAGCAGATATCAAGGGAACCCTGGCAAAGCACATTGGATTGCGGTGAAGAACATCCTTAAGTACCTTCGGAGAACGAAAGAATGGTTCTTAGTCCTTGGAGGGAGTGATGACTTGAAGGTGCGAGGGTATAGTGACGCCAGCTTTCAAACCGACAGGGACAACTATCGTTCGCAGTCGGGCTGGGTCTTTACCCTAAATGGAGGAGCAGTGACATGGAAAAGTTCCAAGCAGGAAACCGTAGCTGATTCAACGTGCGAATCAGAGTACATCGCAGCGAGCGAAGCGTCGAAGGAGGCAATATGGCTGAAGAACTTCATCGGTGATCTTGGAGTTGTACCGGCCATAAAGGAGCCCATGGAGATTTTCTGTGATAACGAAGGTGCGGTTGCCTTGACCAAGGAACCGAGGGATCATGGTAGATCTCGACATATCGACAGAAAATATCACTTCATTAGACATCGTGTAGAAGAAGGACAACTCGTAGTGAAGAGGATATCATCAGAAGATAACCCAGCAGATCCGCTTACGAAGGGACTGAGTAGGGTTAAGCACTTACAGCATGCTAGGAGTATTGGGCTGAAGGATGATATTAGCATAGATTAGATTAGTATTAGAAACGTATAATAGATAAATGTAATTAACATTTGATGATTAAATAAAGAAGTTTTATTTATGAGTAAAGTTACTATCACATGTTAGTTGTTTAACTATTGTTTCACTTTGCATGTTTTGACTTCCAGAATAATTGAGTTTATTAGGAATAATCGAATTATTCAAATGGTCCACAATCGTTCATATGTTGGGAGTAGATATGAATGAAGATTGTCGTGAATTGGTGTGTAGAGTGTCTAAATGGTGTTAGACATAGCAAGAGTTGCTGCAACGTTCATGAGTGCTTACGAACTGGTTTTGAGCATTGGAATAAACCCGCGCTTGCTGGAATCACCTTATGGAATACGATATAAAAGGTGATCGCAAGACGATAATATCATATGGTCTTAAAACCTAGATATATGGTTTATTATTTGTTAATTTGATTGTGCATTGATAATGCGAAAACGCATCAGTAACTTGATGTTATAAAACGCATTGTTGTGTATAGTTGGTTAATGAATAAGTAAATGCATATAAGTCGAAGTTTATCTGTAAATTTTATCCTAAGAGGGTAGAAGAGATATCTTGGCCACTCGATGATTTGATTTGACTTATGTGCCGGGCCCGGTCAGAACTGAATTGATGTGTTCGATTAAGTTCTATGTCAAATAAATCGAAGATCGAGAAATCTAAATGCTAGACTAACCATTCCATAGGATTGTCAGCATGATATCTAACAGAGGACTGTACGATCCCTTATCTAAAGGACAAGATTGATTAGATCAGAGTTGACAGCGTCTTTGAGAGCTACGATTGCAAACCGTATTATACTTGTATAGTTACTAGACTTATCCAAGTGGGAGACTGTTGGAATAGTGTCTAAGGCTATAACTATATTCGGTGGTGCATGGTCCTTTTGGGTTGCCTTCACCATAGCAACTTGAAGGATGATTTGTTAAGAGAGAGTAAATATTATAAGGAATAATATTAAGCTATTTGATTAATATAAGTCATAAATTAATTGGTATTAATTTGGTGACTTAAAGAGATTAATTAAATAAGAGGGTATAAACTGTCAATTGTTTGATAGTTAGACTTTAGACTATAAATCCATTAGGATGGACTTTGGACGGTTTCTAAGAGCTTTAGGATAGCTCAAAATAGTCCATAAGGATATCTATGGAATGGATTTGGATAGCCTTAAGTAAAGATTATCCAATTAGGGTTTAGGGTGAAACCCTTAAGGAGTCTAAAGGTATAAATAGGCCCTTGGGGTGTGGAATTCGTGTACAAGATTTAAGAACCTAAAGAAAGGAACCTCTGGCCGAATTCCATCCCCTCTCCTCTCTCCTAAATCATCTTGCTTGCTATTGTTGTTTGTGAACCATCAGAGGAGTGACAATTGTGACTCTAGAAGCTCCAAGACAAGAAGATCAACAAGGAACTCAAAGGTATGATTCTAGATCTGTATTAATGTTATTGTTTAACCTAATTAGCCATTAGAAGTCTTGGATTCAAAAGCATGTTTGATAGAAAGCCTAGATCCAAGCAATAGGGTTTTGCATGCGCACATAGGAAAGTTCTTATGGCTAAAACCCAACAGTTACAACATCGTCTGAACTCGTAATTCATAATAAGGGGTTAGAGTATCATCACATGAATATGTAGTTACAACATCGCCTGAACTCGTAATTCATCACATGGGTCTGCTAGTGTTTCCACTGGGTTGTCTAGAATAGTCTGTGGTCATCATCTATACTCTGGTAGATGACTACATCGCCACATTGTTGGTTAAGGTTATGGTATCTCCTTTCATCCTACATCACATATTCATCATCATCTATTTACCTAATTATCACCATCTTTCTATCATCATATATCTCTCATCATTTTATTTCATCACACATCAACTATTTCATTTACCTATGTTTCATCCGCAACAATTTGTAGATATAAAATAAATATACCGTTTAAATCTTTTAAAACATGTATAAAATCGTTAATCCAGCATAGACAACAAGTATTCAAATAATATGCACACATAACACGTAATTTATATAAAATAGTTCATATCTATGTGTAAGATGAAAGTAACTATATATACCATAAATGCTTCCTAACTTTGAATCCCAAGGTTTACTCTACTAAAGCTTCATATTCTCAGCTCTCTGAACCTAGAAGGGTCCAGATCTATCACAACAAAAAGCTCAAGATAACTCTTCCTCTCACTCTACACACTCAAGCTCGCTAGGGTTCTCACTTATGGGAAAGGTAGTCGCAATTGAAGGTCATAAGTGCCTTTAAATATGGCTCGACCCAAAGATTTAGGGTTTCTGCCAACAGCGCGGACTCGTCGAGTCGCCTCACCGACTCATCGAATACATTCATTAATCTGAGTCATCAGTCGCGACCTTACTCGACGAGTTGAGGCGTCAACTCGTCGAGTCTCTCTTCTTAACTCAAAAGAAAAATACTTAAATGATGATACCTAGAAAATCGAATGTTACGTTTTGTTTTTTTATTTCATAGATTTCTTCATCAACAAATGTTGCTACAATTAAACAAAAATAAATAATTTTGCTAAAACATAATACAATAGGAAGTTTGTTCACATTTAGTCATTGAACTTTTTAGAGGGTAACGAACTTTCGATTTTGTTCACATTTAGTCACTAAACTTTTTTTAATTATCTATTTGCCACTAAACTATTGAAACTGTTCACATTTTACCCTTATGACCGGTAACAGCCGGTCATAAGGATCAAATGTGAACAGTTTCAATAGTTCAATGACAAATACATAACGAAAAAAAATTAAATGACTAAATGTGATAAAAATCGAAAGTCAAGTCATTATCCCTTTCAACTTTGAATATTTAATGGATAAAAAATAGCAGAAACGGCTTTAAAAAGTAATTTGGGGTCGAATCCGAGTGAGATTCTTCCATATAACAGCATACACTTGTAATAGTTGCAGATTCGTTTCTAATTCCACCCATTTCTCACATACAAGTTCAAATCAAAGCAAACAGAAACGAAAGGCGATTGAAGAAGAAATAAGTGTTGGATGGCGGATTGTAAAAAAGTTTCAAAATTGTACTCTATCGATCTCTCATCTCCTCATATTCCAACCTCTGTATCCTTACTCAAACAGGTTTCACTCTCTCTCTGTGAGAAGTGAAAGGATTTGTGTTTGTTTTTGTGTGTATGCGTAAGTGTATTCAGAAGGAGGTATAGTTTGATTTTGGATGTTTAATCGTCTGCAATTTGTTATCGATTATGGAAATACTTACTTGTTAGTTCTATTGATTTGTTCTGCAATTAGATTTGAAAGTTAGGGATATGAAAAAAGAACTTCATGGAAAGGATTGTATCAATAACTGGATAGTTAATTAGTTATAGAATCCCACGTATGGGGATTTCCTGTATGCATATATGTCATGTAAACAAACCCCATTTAAGTTTTCTTAACGATTACTAGTCGTTAATTTGATCTGTTTTATATTTCATAGGCCTGCGTGGATTCCGGTTTCTTCTACGTAACAAATCATGGAATCAGTGAGGAATTTCTGGATGAAGTTTTTGCGGAAAGCAAGAAGTTCTTCGAGCTTCCATTAGAGGAGAAAATGAAGCTTCTTAGAAATGAGAAACACCGAGGCTACACTCCTGTTCTTGACGAACTCCTTGATCCCGCCAATCAACTCCATGGTTTGTTCAAACTCAAGTAAAGTTTTATAACAATCCACCTGTTCTTTCTAACTTTCATCATAAAACTTTCCACAACTCATTTGCACAATAATCAAAACATCATAGGTGATCACAAGGAAGGATTTTACATTGGTATCGAGCTTCCTGAAGATAACCCTGACGCTCAAAGAACATTTTATGGGCCAAATTTATGGCCTGATTCAGGTATAACCAGTTATCTACTCATCACTGTGTATCTGATTTGTGAAATTCTTTTAAGTTTGAATTGTTTGACAGATATCTTACCTGGATGGAGGCAGACTATGGAAAAATATCATCAACAAGCTCTGTAAGTTTTCTTAAACTTATAATCTTTTTTGTGCTTCATGTTTATATGAGTTTTTTCTTTTAGGAAAGTAGTTAGAAAAATAGCAAGGTTCATCGCCCTTTCTCTTGATCTTGATGCCAACTATTTTGAAAGACCAGAAATACTTGGCAATCCGATTGCAATCTTACGTTTACTGCATTATGAAGGTGAGAATCTAAACTCAAGAATGATAATATAATTTTTAATTTTTTCATGATTATTTTTAATTAAAGATGATAAAAAAAAAAAAATGGTTTATGTTGTAGGCCAAGTATCAGACCCTTTGAAGGGAATATATGGAGCTGGTGCACACTCTGATTATGGTTTTATAACACTCTTGGCAACAGATAATGTTTCTGGACTCCAAGTATGCAAATATTAGCAACAAATACATGTTTTTCTTTTCAAAGTTTTAATTTTTATTTATTTTTTATTTATAAAGATATGCAAGGATAAAGATTCTAACCCTCAGGTGTGGGAATCTGTTGAACCATTAAAAGGGTAAGACCATTAAGTAAAAAAGGAACAACATTTGACACTTTACACCATTGGAGAACAAGAAGAATTATACACTATGATGATAAATTATGTGTCTTTTTGCATTTACAAATCAGTTAATGTCTTTATAAATTATAATAATCTTTTCAGAGCCTTTGTTGTAAATCTTGGTGATATGCTGGAACGATGGAGCAACTGTATTTTCAGGTATAAAAAATTATCATGTTATATATTCTAATATTCTATTTTGACTATTTTAGGTGATAGGTTTGAATTCGTTGACTTTTTGTACAGGTCAACGTTACATCGGGTGTTGGGAAGTGGTCAAGAGCGATATTCTGTACGACCTTTTTATATTACTCAATTTTCTTATTTCTTATTTTTATTTTTTAATTTAAATGATTTTCAACTCAACCCATTCTTATATATATATATATATATATATATATATATATATATATATATATATATATATATATATATATATATATATATATATATATATATATAAAAAAGAAGAACGCAAGTTATGAATGAAAGTATGTTGCTGTTTCTTGTAGATTCCATATTTTGTGTTGCCAAGTCATGATTGTGTGGTTGAATGCTTACCTACCTGCCATTCAAAAGAAAACACTCCCAAGTAAGTATTGTAAAAACATTTTTTTTTTTTTTTATTAAATGTTTATTGGTTTATTGTTATCATTTTTAATGATTTGATTTTATTAGGTTTCCTCCAATCAAATGTGAAACCTACCTTCTTCAACGATATCATGACACTCATGCTGAACTTAGTACATACAAAAAACCCTAGATTTCATTTGGCCAATTTGTTAAAGTAATAAAATAGTTACTATTATTATTTAAATTTCATTTGGCATATCTTGATGATGATGATGAAAAAAGTATTCATGTCTTTTGCAATTTACACACCAAAGTGGTTTTTTATGAACACAAAATGACTGTGAATTATATCATATACTTGATAATTAATTGTATGGGGTCACACGTGTTGCATGAGTATGGTGTATTCAACTCCTTCTGTTTTAGAATAACAAAACCTTTCGTGCCCACAAATATCATTTAAAGATGGAAAAATGCCTTAAACTACAAGAACCGGTTACTAGTGAGTAACCTTTGAAAAAAATGTAAAGTTTGATGGTTTTTTTTGAATATTTTAAATCATAGTTACACTTATGAGTTATTTTTTCTTTTAATTATTTGTTACCTGTAACTTTTTGGTTACCATAAGGTGAAATTTGAACAAAGTGTGTAGTTCGTTGGTGTTTTTTGTACAAAGATTTTATTTGGATGATGTTTTTTGAACAAACCAAACTTAAATGATGTTTTTGAATGATTTTGAAATATAGTTACCCTTATAAGTCATTTTCCCTTTAAAGTTCTGTAGTATCATGATATTTGAAAATATAAGTGGTTTCCCTCTGTGTTTAATATATCAATGTGGGGATATGCTTTTTTTGGAGATTAAAAAACGTAAAAAGATAAAGAAAAACAAGAAATCCTGAAGAATGTGAATAGGTTAGCATGATTAAGCCTTTGGAGATGGGCAATTGATTGGATGTTGGAGACGAAAATTTTAAACAGAATTTTTGAAACGGTAGCGAATGATTTGCAAACTTTTTATATGAAAATGGGGAACAACCTATAAAAGGAAAATGACATCCTTTTCGGCTTTGTAGTCTTTTCTATAATAGGTTAGCATGATTAAGCCTTCGGAAGTGAACGATGGCGATGCAGGTATGGGAGTAATCACGAAAAAGAATAGAAACCATAGGGACCATTCGTGTAATTTATAATAACTGTTAGGGAAAATGATCCTACGAACTTTCTAGGGTTTATCTTTAGAGTCCTTAAAGTTTTTTTCGGGCTTTATGTGTCTCTAAACTAGGGTATTACCTGCTCTTTTAGTTTATGTCAACCTGTAATAGTCGGTTCAGTGACATTTTAAACAAAAAAAAAAAAAAAAAAACTCACATTGTGCCCCTATAAAACCAAAAAATAAGTTTGGGGATCAAATTGTACAAAAAAAAAAAAACTCTCCTGTTTTTCTAAAGCTGATTCACACTTAATTCGTATTCATCTCCGAACTATTTTTTTTTGTTTTATTAGGGCACAATGTGAGTTTTTTTAGTCTAAAAAGTCAATGAACCAGCTATTACAGGTAGACAGGGACTAAAAGAGCAGGTCACATCCTAATTTATGAACCCATAAAACCCAAAAAAAAACTTTAGGGATTCAACGGGTAAACCCTAAAAAGTTTGTAGGGCATTTGTATCATTTTCCCTAACTGTTTAATGGATGATCCGTTAAATACTAACAAAATTGACTCAATAGACAGGTAAGCTGTAACTATGACTTATTGCGAAAAAAAATTGCTGATCAAATCGAACCATAAACATAAATTTATTGTGTTGCGATGACATTTTGCTAGGAATATAAATACATCATTGTTGATCTACTGTAAGCCTTTACTCTTTAGACACTTTTTCGCTTTCTTTTTTTGGTATGATTTACAAGATAATGGACCAAAAGCAAACTTAAAAGGTTTATCCCAATAAACGTGGTCGTAGTAAGTTTCGGATAAGATCATATGATTATATCTTTTTGCTTATAGAGTAAGTTATATCTATGCAATGGAAATAAATAATGGCCGCTTCTAGACATGTATTGGAATTGAACAATTTTATGCCAATCGAACAACAAAAATTATGATATGCCATGATCCCACAATTTAACTTTTTCTCTCAATTTTTCTTCATTTTCATTAAGACATCTTCAATAAGAACTTTCTTTTTTACAGCAAAAAGAAACTAACTACTATTTGTTTAACTATTTTATTACCATTTAATTAGGGGAGATTTTTTTTTCTTTTCTACGATCAATATTAAATAGGTAATTTAGTTAAGGTCTTTTTCACATCTAATCTTTCTCATTTAATCATATTTTATTTTATTTTTAATTTTAAATCTTTTTTTTATTTACTTACCAACTAATTAACTCTATTATGTATTTAATATTCATTTATGAAATATAAAACTTGTAACAATTATAATATTTTCAATATGATATCTTCGAACGATGAATTGTGATATTTTTTTGAATGATATATTTTAATATTTTAGCTATCTTGATATTAATGTCTACTAATAATTTTTTATTATAATATTTTATATTGAAATAGATAACACCTAATTTTGGGGTTAGAAATTTTGAATAAATTTAAAATATTTATCTAAATTAAGTAAAAATAATAGTAATTCTATATTGGTCTATACCATCTACTAAATAAAAATAACTTGTGTTACATTACATTTTTCTAGAGTATTAGTTTAAAAATTTATATTTTATTCTTATGTTGACACGTGATAGTTTCATAATTTTTTCTATTAATTTAATTTTTTAAATTCAAATAAATCAACATATGTATTAAAATTGAAATTTAAATTTTGAATTAAGTTATGAGATTTCCTTTTATATATATAATATATATATATATATATATATATATATATATATATATATATATATATATATATATATATAATCTAACGAGATTTTCGACTATATACACAAACCACCTAGACAACTATTTAGAATATTTATTTTATTATTATATCTAGAATGTATTGATTTTATTTTATTGACATATATTATGAAAAAATTGCAAATAATCTAAAATCTATTCTACTAAATATAAATATTTTTTACTACATGTCACATTCTCATTCATTTTGTAACATCATTTTGTGGCTATAAAATTAATTTTTTTATAAACACGTGGTTTGCACATGTCTCTAACCTAGTAAATAATAAGTTAGGATAATGAGAATAATAAAAAATGAACCATAATAATTGTTTAAATAATAGTTAGAAAAGTTAGGTGTTGAAATTATAACAATTAGGGTTTGAAGGCTAAAAGTGTCAAAATAGTGAAACTATTTTAACAAAATGATTGACTCACTTAAGTGGAAGATTAGACTATTAAAATCATATTATGGATGAGGAATGACTAATTGTGAAACTCTATATGTTAGGCGAAACAATTATGACGAATGGGGTTATTTTGGCAAAAACATGCATTCTTGAGGGTAGAAATCAAAACTTAACAGATAAGATGCATCCTCTCTAACTCATTTCTTCATGTCACGATTTTGAGTAGTCGGGATCTCTTCTTATGGAGATTTTCCCTTTAGTGATGTTTGAAGCAATAAATGGCAATTTCCATAAAAGTTTGTAACACTCGTTTTCCAGAATGGTCCGGTTTAGGGCACTAAGAAGTCAAAAGCATGGTTTTTGGGGAAAACCAGGTGTCACGACGTGACCATGAGGAGGTCATGACGTTACAAGCCAAAGTAAAGAACATGTATTTGGATTGTGGTCACGACGTGAGGAAAGTTGTAACCCAATCTCATGCTCTTTTAGGGGTTTCTTCATGTTTAAACCCCGCTAACTTGATTTTAGGGTTTATTATCAACCTTCATCACCCTCAAACCACAGGGAAACCCTAACCCTAATCCCTCTTGGTGGTTTTGGATTATCTTTGATGGTTTTAGTGTTATTTGAAAGAAGTATAATGAGAATTGGTGCAAGGATCAAGCAAACAACATCTTCTCAACTTTGATATCACCCTTTGGACCATTTGTAAGCATTCAAGATGTAGCACCTGGTTCCCGGTACGTATTTCTTGTAACTAAAAATTCTAAATTCATGCATTTTTGCCTTGGACTCGGCGAGTTGAAGGACCGAATCGCCGAGTAGGAGCGGGATGAGATGCGAGGTCTGAGCCTTGGACTCGGCGAGTTGGTTCCCCGACTCGACGAGTAGGCCCTGTTTGGGCAAAAACCTTAACCCGAGTGTCGTCACCCTATTTAAGCACACTAACTCGGCCTCCCTTGTCCCTAACACTTCTAGAGAGCTGTAATGAGAGACCTTAGCCCCCATATTGATCTTGTGAGTGATTTTGCTTGGTGAAGGAAGTTTGGATCTTAGAAGAAGAAGGAGGAGGTTGAAGAGTGCAAGGAGGGGAGTAGATCCGAAATCTACACAATGAGAAACTTCCATTCAGGTAGAAAAGTTCATACCTTGATCACTTGGTCATTAGATACCATTTTGTCCCAAATTGGTGGTTTTCAAGCCCTAAAACACCAAACTCCATGTGTTTGTGCTTAATGATCCGAAAGGACTTCAGACCTAGACCTTGTGGACGTATTAGAAGCCTAAAGTTTTTGTGGTTGAAGTGATTAAGGTCCCCATTGGGTGTATGACCTCATAAAGAGCTTGGATTTGACTTTTGGAGCTTGTAGGGCCATGCGTGCACATAAAGTTTGCAACTTTATGTGATAAGCATGCCCTAGGAACATAGATCTATGGTTTTGAAGCGTTGCATGTCTCAGATTTGGTCTATATGGGAAATGGGTCAAGGGATTCGGCGAGTCCCAAAGTGGAACTCGGCGAGTTCTTTAAAGATGGCCTTAGACTCCGCGAGTTGGATGAACAACTCGGCGAGTCCTATGAAGATTTCCTGGTACTCGGCGAGTCAGATGAATAGTTACTGAGTAAGAGGGATTTAGGTGTTGAAGGTCAAACCCTTCGTATCTGCATGCGGAATTAGCAATCTACATGTAGCAATAGTCCCAGAAATCCAAATCCTCATAAAGGATGCTCTGGTGAGGATTTGGAAGCGAGTAGGAGATCTGCTGGTATGGACTCGGCGAGTCGGATCGCGAGCCGGTTCTATCGTCCCAAGTAGTGAGTTAAGGGTGACTCAATGAGGGGAAAAATTGACTTGTAGAGTGGGACCGAGTTAGTGGGAGAAGGACTCGCCGAGTCGGTGCCATGACTCTGTGAGTCCAGTCAACTGGAAGTTAACTTTGACCAAGGAGTTGACCTTGGACCAGGGGTGGGTCAGTCATCTGACCTAAGGTGCGTATGAGTGGCTAATCTATGTTTATGATTTATATCAAGAGGACTTCCAATTCAGCAGTCAGGCGCTTAGCAAGCAGACTTTCAGCAACTACTTTTCGAGGTGAGTTACCTTCCAGTAACAGTGGGTCTAAGGCTACAATGTCGGCC